TATTAAAAAAAAAAAAAGAAACTACATTCTGTTTTAAACTGCCTTCAACCCCTTGCTAGTAGCCAGCTGCCCTTACCCTCCCCCCCACCCCGCCCCAACTCCTCCTCTCCTGGATCTCCTGACAGACCTTTAACCTCTCTAGATGTCTGCGACTCTTCCTGGTATCCCACCTGCCTGATAAGGAAAAATGTTAACTACCTGCATTTTTCCACTCCCCTTTAAGTCAGGCTTCTGTCTGAACTCTAAAGACCCCATAGATGTTTTCTCTGCTCGGGGTTTAGAGTTCTTTTGAAGTCATTTTGTAAATCTCAAAGTGTAAAAATGTTAGGGTAAATATTTCCTATCTTATAATGTGACAGGCTTTCAAACAGTCCTAGGCAATAATTGAAGTTCTCCACTTATTTTTGGCGTTGTACTTCAGGATAATTACAAAGTGCCAAGAATCAGCTCTTCAAAGAAGCAAAGGAAGTTAAAACAGAAAAACTTACATTTCCTATTGTGTGTTAACAGAGCTTGCTTTAAATCTACCGTCGCTCTTCCTAACATAGTGTCTGCTTTTAAAGTATGATGACTCCAGACTCGGAATTCCAAGGTCGTCTGAGGGGTCACATTTCTATAAGGTAAAATAAATGTAAACCGTTTACTACAAAAATACTAAGTTAAGGATGATTGATTTTCCACCATATTTATCTCTATACGAGTAAGAGACAGCATGGCTAAATAATTTCATTTATAAAGACAAGATTATTATGCATCCTCTCTGATACAAAATGAAGATAGTCAACCACCCCCTGCCGCTTTAACGATCTATTCACACTGGAGGTGGCACTGGGGAACCTCATAATTGTTTTTTAATTTATTATTAATTGGGAGTTAATACATATATATCATTCCATAGTTCAATCACATCAAGCAAAATTGTACAATTGCTACCATATTCAGTTTCCAAACATTCTTTTTCTTCCTGGACTCCTTGACATCATCCCGTTACCACTACCCAAACCCTTATTCTACTTGCTGGCCCTATAGATTCATTGATCCTGGGTTTCATATACCAAATCACAGGAAAACATGTAACACAATTTCAGGAAGGTGACCCCCAATGACATAACGCCTCTGAGATACACCCTAATGAACAACCAAAACACAGGAAATGTTGAAAATCAAAGCAGGTCCAGCATGCGTCAGAGAGGGGACCAACTGACAACTGTTAGGAGTCAGATTTATGCCTTTGATCTCCTACACTGACCTCTCCAATGCACTGTTTAGTGACCACTATCTGTCCATCCCTCAATCGGGGCTAGTGGGAGTTCACTGGAGAACGAACCTCATAATTTTGAAGCCATCCTACACCACGTAAAATGCATTCCAGAAAGCAAAAGCCTTCCCTTTCCAAGATTTTGTTGTACAAGGTACTTACACAGTTAGTTGTTCATCCCATTTTGGATTAGAAGAACTACTAGATTTTGCTGTTTTCTTGATTTCTCCATCTACAGCTACCTCTGTATATATCGCTGTTCCAAACCAGTTCTTTTTTCTTTTTAGTTTGGCACTAGAAACTATGAGAAACATAATAATCACCAGTTAGCATTTATAAGCAAAAAGTCATTTAAAAATAAACAAATAATTCCAATTAAAACAGAACCGTGCTTCTTTTGTAATTCAAAGTTTTTCATGGAAAGAAAAGGAGAAACAATACAAAAAGCATATTGATAATGCCCAAAAACCATTTGAACTTCCTTTTTAATTTTTATTTCTTGGTAATAGCTTTATTTAGATATAGTTTATATGTCATCCACCATACAATTTATCTTTTTAACCATATAATCCAATGATATTTAATACTTTATCATTCTAAATAAATTAATATTTAATAATAATTTCATGGAGTTGTGAAATTAACACCAAAATCAATTTCTAAACATTTTCATTATTTAAAAAAGAAATCTCTATCACTAACAGCCAACCCCTATTTATCCCTAGGCCTAAGCAACCATTAATCTTTCTGTCTCTACAGAGCTGTCTATCCTGGGCAATTCAAAGCAACAGAGTTAGAAAACATGTGGTCTTTGTGACTGGCTTCTTTGGTTTAGTATCCTGTTTTTGCGGTCCGGGAGGAGGCTCACTACTCCCCTGAGGAGTTAGTCTAAGAAACCCACAAGGGCACTTCTACCCTGTCCTATCCGGCCGTGCGTTGGGTTGTCCTGAGCTGGAATCAACTGCTTGGTGGTGAGTTAGAGTACTACACGTATGTGCATACTAACTAACTGTACGTTACCATATTCTGGTAGGTAGTTTTCTGTTTGATTTATTTCCCCCTCACAGTTGTCCTGCTTTTCCTGAACAATGTTCTTATTCTCAGTTGTTCCTGCTAATCAGCTGTGGGTTATGAAAAACCATAAATACACTCTGAGTTTTCCAAATTTGGTCTAGAGGAGAGCATATCAGCTTACCAACCATACGCTGACAGACTGCAATAGTATCCCCAACCAAACCAAACCCGTTGCCACTGAGATGATTCCAACTCATAACATCCACACGGGGAAGAGTGGAACTGCCCCTTAGGGTTTCCGAGTCCATTAAAACTGCATGGAAGCAGACAGCTTTCACCTGTGGAGCACCGTGTGAGTTGGACCACCCACCTTACAGCTAACAGCAGAATAGTTACCCCACCGAGCCACCTGAGTACAATGTTAACACCAAAACCCAAACCCACTGCCATCAAGCTGCCTCTGCCTCATCGCGATCCTGTAAATCAGTACTTCTCAACCTGTGGGTCGTGACCCCTTTGAGGGCCAAACGACCCTTTCACAGGGGTCACCTACGACCATCGGAAAACACATAAATATTTCACCATATATAATTA